CGGGTGCTGGGGGTGGGGTGGGGTGGGGGGTGGGAATGGCAGCCGGGCTTAGGGAGAAGGAGGCAGTGAATTACAACAGTTTAGCTGTGCGTGCCAATAAGTTTCGTTTATTTCAATCAAATATCCGTAATAGAAGGTAAATATTTCCCTAAGATCACCCCCCCCCGCAAAGAAATGATTATTTTTTTTTAATTTATTCAGCGTAAGAGAAGAACGAAAAAGGAAGAAGGTTTAGCCTAGTACAAGTGCACTTGTTTGATTAATAAAGCCTCGCGGAAGCTGCGCGTGTGGGTGCGGATCACTGGGAAGTTTCACTTCAATCACATCGGAAACGTCTCATTAAAAAGAACTGGCTACAAATTTGGTATCGGATTTCCACGTACAGAAGAGCGGAGCAGCTGTTTAGTGAAGAGATAGTGCCACGTAGGGTACGAAAACGAAGACACGAAAGCGGAGAAGGCGAGGCAGCCGAGCCGGAGCTCGCAGCCTGAGCTCGGACCGGCCTTTGAGTTAAGTCTTTCCCTCCCGACCTGAAAGGCAGAACCTCAATTCTTCTGGCCTTCGCCTCTGTCCTCTTCCCGATCATGTGCTTCCTTCTTGGCCTCCTCTTCCTTTCCCTCCTGTCTGGAAGCCGGGAATTTGTCCTTGTTGTTTTCCTTTTTCCACTTCATCCTCCTGTTCTGAAACCAGATCTTTACCTGCCTCTCGGTGAGTCCTAGTGCGTGGGAGACCTCAATGCGCCTCTTCCTGGTTAGATAAGGGTTAAAAAGGAATTCCTTTTCCAGCTCTAAAGTCTGGAAGCGGCTGTAGGTCTGTCTTCCTCTCCTCCTACCGGGAGCTGCTGATTAAAACAAAAACACACCAGGGTTTTGTTTGGGATTTTTTGGTTTGGTTTGGTTTGGGTTTTTTTTCGCAAAGTAAAGAGCGGGGGGCGGGAGGGGGGGCGGGAGGTGAACACAAGCCACGTCCTGCTAGCTGGGCTACCGCCTAGGTGAGCTGCCCGGCCCGCGCGGGACTACCCCGGGATAGTGATGGGCAGGGCAAGACAGGAGCTGCAGGCAGGATCGGCCCCTCTCCTTCCATTCCGTCCCAGCGCTTACTGGTCATTGTGTTATCCGGTAACTGGAAATCTCCCCCCCCCCCTCTCCCCAATTCATATTTAATCGGGAGCCGGCTCCGGCCTCCTCTGATTTATGCCCTGTGTCTGCGTTTCAGCCTCTTCTGCCGTGGCGGAGTGGGGTGCGGGGGAAGCGCAGACCAGGGGCTTCTTACTGTATGATTTTATTATCATAAGCCGTCGCGGTTGCAGGACGCGGGCGATAGA